AGAAAGGGCAGAGAAGAACAGAAAATTTTACACCCCGCGGCGACTCGTCATCTGCTTTCTAATCCTGAGAGTTTATTAGGTGAAATGATGCAGAGACGCTGCCGCGTGGACCCATTCAGCCAAGGTTTACCATCGTTGTGGTATCCTGACGGATGGGCTTGGCTGCTGTGAGAGGGTTCGTATTCGATCTCGGGAGTTTTCCGGGATGTTGATTTTTCCCGGTTCTTCGCGCTCCCCGCATGACGAAGAATTTCGAGGAATCTGTTAAGAATTTGGTAAAATTCGGCAAGAACAGCAAGCACCCACAGGGTCTTTGCATACGGTAGCCGCTGTAGTTTTCTGCGGTCGCAGGCGCCATATTGCGGACAACTTTGAAATTGCCTTTCGAAAATTTGAAAACATTCGCTGGGGCTGTGTTCATACTGTTTTTTTTCTTCAACAGATAAAAATATTGGAAATTGTTAATTCATGATTGAAAGATCATTGGGCTGTTTATAGCAAGTTTTTTATTGTACGCCTTTCGTAATGTCACGGCTTGATATGGAACTCATTTTCCTGGTCGAAGGCAAAGAGATTAATAATTTAAATAAAACAATCAAAAGCACATTCTAGATGGCAGTGAATGGCGAGCAGGCAGTGCCTGCTCGCTGCCCGGACAACTCGACGGAAAATGCATCAACATTAGAACAAAGCCAGACAGATTCTGCAGTCGCCGAAGCGGCCACTCAGAAAGTTGAAGGTTAGTGAGCAAATATGTTTTCACTTCTTCTATGTATTCAAATGTAGAACAAACTGTAAGAACTTTGCGGCATCGTTTTTAGCGTCTGTCAGCATTTTGACCGACTAAGAAAGCATAGGTGTCACTTATCGCTGAAAACGCTGGCGGAAATTAAAAACGTTGGATCGATATCTATACTTTCCTTGTCACTCGAAACGCTCGCAATGCAAAAAACTGTCGAAACGCTCACAGACGTTCAAAACAATGCCTCAAAGTATGAACGCACTCGAACGGAGTTTCTTTGAAAAGTTCAGGTTCAGAGGGAGACTCTACAATCTCTGTTGCTCCTCCCGAACAGATGGAAAACGATGCTTCAGGTGCTATATTGTTTCTGATTTGGGAGCTGACGTAGTTGGCGGACCTCCGTATTCCTTCCCCTAATCAAGGCTTAGGCATGGGTCAGTGACAACTAGGTCTTCTCTGCGGGGCTATCCCTCGGAGACTCTGGAGCGTGTGCGCTGTAAGCCTGAGCTTTTTTTCGGGGAGGGGGAGTGCAGAGGCACGACCGGCTGCCCACTCCCCCCCCCCCCCGCCGTCTCAGGATATCTGTCAGCCATGGATCCTCCCTCCTCCTACCCTGTTTTGTGGACGCCCTGTAAGCCCCTCAACTACGTCAGCGCCCTAGTTTGTTTTCCTTCCTTCCTTTCCTTCCTTCTCTCTCCTCCCTCTTATTTTCTTCAATTGAAGCTTCGCTAGAGGTTGCGATAAAAGCACCT